AAAAGGACGAAAAGCTGGACCTTAAATCCCTTCTAATGAGCAGTGTTAGGTCCTCTAACGAAAGGCAGTCGGGTCTTTTTTTTAGTTCTGGTCTTTTGTTTTTTGTTGAGACAGGGTCTCCCAGTAGTCACGGCTGGCCAGGAGCTCACTATTCAGACCAGGCTGGGGTTGATTTCAGAGAGCCACCTGCTGCTGGCGTGTGCCCCAGTGCCTGGCTTTCAGTTATCGCAGGGTTTTTTGGGGTTTTTTTGAGATAGGGTCTCACTAGCTCTGGCTGGCATGGAAGTCTGTGTAGACCAGGCTGTCCTGGAACTCAGAGATCCACCTACCTCTGCCTGAGTTCTGGGATTAGAGGCGTGTGCCACCATGCCCCGCCCAGGACTAGTTCTTAATAGAATCTACCTTGCTGGTCAAGGGGCCACTACTACAGTTTGCATCTTTTTTTTCTTTTCTGTTTGAGACATAGTCTCACTTTGTAGCTTTGGCTGAGCTGGAGCTCATGTAGGAGGCCGCCCTGAAGCAGCAGAGATCCACCTGCCTCTGCCTCCCGAGTGCTGGGATTAAAAGGTATGTGTCAAGCCTCTGGTGCACTGCAGCCCATGTTTTGGAGCCTGGTCCCTCCAGGGGGTGGGAGGTGTTCAGGGGGCAGCAGGACCAGAGTCACAATCTTTTTCTTTGCTGGCCGTAAGGTGATCAGCTCTGCTCTGCTCTGCCCTGTGCCACTGCCTCGATGTGCTCCCTTATCACAGGCACAAAGCAACAAGGGAAGCACGCTGTGCACGGAGCCTTTGGCGCTGCCAGCCAAGATTCACTTTCCCATTCACATCCGGCCTCCCAACCTCTTGGTTTTTTGGAAGTCTCACACTGTAGCCCAAGCTGGCCTGGAGCTTACTACTTCGCAGTCCAGGACGGCCTCAAATTCACAGCCCTCCTCCCGCCATTGCCTCTGGAGGGCTGTGAGCCTGTGCCCAGCCACACCTTTTCTCTTCACAAGCTGATTATCACGAGGGAGCGCCAACACGTGGCTAGTGCTCGCAATGGCCTGAAGTGAGGGACAGCGAGGGCCTCTGGGACCATCGCCGGGCATCCTTACCCAGGCGGTCACCAGGAAGTTGGCCGTTCACGCTCCACTCGATGACCGTAGCGGCACCGGGCAGTGGGCTCCTCTGGCCTTCTGAGTGCTCATTCTCTCCTTCCTCTTGCTGTGATTCGTGCTTTCTATTTTTCCTCTTCTTTTTCCTTGGAGACTGTGTCCAGGTCTCGGACTCAGAGTGGTGTGCAGAGGAGCAGCTATGGGGAGCCAGAGAAGGGAGCTGTCAGTCTCCAGGAGCACCGCAGGCAGGAGCCGCTCACTTGCAGCACCCCAGCAGTTTCCATGATTTTGGCGCTTATCTCTGTAGGAAGCGCCACCCCAGGGGCTGGTGAGAAAGCACTTGCCACCAAGTCTGCTGACCTGAGAGAGACATCAACTCCTGTCCTCTGACCTCCTCACAAGCACACACACAAATAAATAAATGTAACTTTAAAAGGGCCAGTGAGATGACTCAGCAGGTGAATGGGCTTGCTACCAAGTCTGATAACTTCAGTCCAACCCCAGGACCCACAAGCTAGAAGGACAGAATCAACTCCAGCCAAAAACCAAATAAATATAAAAAATTAAAAACAAAAGGGCACTCCACCACAACATGGCTGAGGACTGCTCTCTGTGACAGCATTTACTCCGCAGTAAGCTTAGAGACACCGGCTGTGGTGTGAGGCTTCCTGTACCGGCTACATACTCAACATGATGCTAGAGATTCCTCTCCACGCACCTACGGCAGATTCTCCACATGCATGCACAGGCTGCTGCAGCAACGTTACCTAAACACACAGCCCGGCCTGGGGCCATCTGACCCTGTGTCCCCCGACCATCCCACGCAGAGTGATGGCCAAGGCCTAAATGTGGCTGTCCTTTCATCCCTGTGGGGAACTAGTACTCACTGACACAGGAGGACACAGTCTATGTTCCGTCCACATTTATTACCCCAGACCAATGCTGTATTCCTAGCCCACCCCATCTGGGAAGGCACTGACTTCCTTTCTTGATAAGAGCCATCGCAAGCCCGCTCTTACCTGTGCCGAGGTGGGTCCCGGGACAAAGTGGCTTCTTTGCTGAGTGCCTCTGATCCCTTCCTCCTCCTCCTCTTCCTGATGCTCACGTGGTGGCTGTCCAGGACATGACTCACTTGATGGCCATTCACCTGAGGCTGTGTGCCCTCCTCCTTCCTGCTCCTAGGACTCCAAGGTTGGCCCTGGGCCTGGTCCTCCTGCCAGGGGGCCACGGCCACATCCTCCAGGCACCACTTCTTGTTCTTCTTCTTCTTCTTCTTCTTCCTGAGGGACGATGCAGCTGCTCCCGTCAGGCAACGTGGGAGGCGTGTGTCGATGCCCAGTCTCTGGGGGTCTCTATTAGGGGTCTTTTTCCTTTTCTTGGAGGGGCTCTGCAGGGCCTCAGTGGCCTCTGGCAGCTGGTGTAAAGAGGACGTTAAGTCCCTGTTGACCTGAGGCAAGGGAGTCCAGGCAGAATAGTGGCTCTGTGGCTCTGATGTCCCTGGGGGCTTGGGACTACTACTGGACAGTGATGCAGAATGGGGGCTGACAGGATGCTTCGGGAAGGTAGATGGTTGGGGAGCAGATGACACAGCCCTGTAGGGACAGTGGTGACAGGGAAGGTCATTCTGGAAGACAAAGACACACCCTTCCACCTTCATTCTACCTCCCCTTTCACTTCAGCTTTTAAATGGGTAACTCTGCCCATGCAATTCCCGGACACATAGGAATTCCATGTTTTCTGAAGGCAGGCTAACAAAATTCAAAGCCGACCTAAGATCAAAGTTACTATCAGGCAGTTTAAGTTTAAGGGTTGGTTTCTTTTTCTTTTTGTAGTGCTAGAGATTGAATCCAGAACTTTGGGCTTGTCAGGTAAGTGCTGCTGCACCACTGAGCTACATCCCCGCACAGTTCGGAATCTAATAAACTCTAATTTTATTTTTTAAACTCAAATGTGGTACATGTCTATAATCCTAGAACTTAGGCAGTGGAATCAGGCCAGCCTTAAGAGACAGATCAAAGGCAGCGTGGGTTACAGGAGAGCCTGTTTTAAAAGCAAAAAATAGGAATGAAGACATGGCTCACTGGTTAAGAGCACTGGCTGGTCTTGCAGAGGACCTGGGTTCGATCCCCAGCATCTAAATGGCAGCCTAACAACCGTCTGTAACTCCAGTTCCAGGGGATCTGACACCTTCTGATTTCTGCAGTCACTGCACGACACAGGTGCACTGACATACAGGTAGGCAAAATACTCATACACATAAAATAAAAAGTGTTTGCCTTGCAAACACGAAGCCCTGGGATCTATCCCAGGCATCACAAAAGACCAGGTGTGGCAAGTTATACCTGTAAACCCAGCACTCAGGAAACAAGATGCAGGAGGATCAAAAGTTTAAGGTCATTCTCCACCACACATTAAATTTGAGGTCAGCCAGGGCTAGAAAAGACCCTGCCTCAAAAACCAAACAAAACCTCTCCCCCCAGATAAATATAAACAAGAACAAAACAAGCAAACCAAAACAAACTAAATTTTCAACTCAAGGGCACGGTAGCACAGGCCTTTAATCTCAGCATCTGAGAAGTGGAGGCAAATGGACCCGTGACTTCCAGGCCAGCCAGGGTTCAATAGTGAGACCCTGACTCAATAAAATAAAAATTCAGGGCCGGGCATTGGTGGCGCACGCCTTTAATCCCAGATTAAAGGGAGGCAGAAGCAGGCAGATCTCTGTGAATTCAAGGCCAGCCTGGTCTACATAGCGAGTTCCAGGACAGCTGGGGCTACAGGGAGACCCTGTCTCAAAAAGACCAAAAGAAAAAAAAAAACCAAATGTGTTAAGATGTATAGTGTAAGTAAAAATGATCAGGAAAAAAAATTCCTATCCAGGTTTATCTTTTGACCTCCAAAAGCCACAGTTGCTCCCGCCAGGAGCCACGTGGTCCAGAAACACAGATGCACAGGGGCAAACAACACTGTAAGAGAAGTGCAGGACTAAGCAATCCTAGGCGTGCCTGTGTGGCCGGTTTCAAAGGCTTAGTAAATGCCTGAGACTGTCTTTGCCACCATCCGAACCAAAACAGGCTGCAGCCGCCTTGCCAGTGCACTCTAGGCGTCTGCTAGAACGCCAGGAAAAAAAGTTCAGGCCAGGCATGATGGCACACACCTTTAGCCCCAGCACTCCGGAGACACATTTCTGTGAGTTGGAGGCCAGTCTGGTCTATACAGGGAGCTCTAGGCCATCCAGGGTTACACAGTGAGACCTTGCCAAAGGAAAAAAAAAAAACAACTCCTCTCAAGTGGTTCACATTTGGGGACCCCAACATTTAAAGATGCACAGAAATGCTAGGGATGGGTGTGTGCCTAAGTGTGTGTGAGGGGAGAGGTAATATGGAGCCGAGTCCTGGGGGTACAATCAGATGTCACTCTCTTACACAGTGAGATTCTGAAGAGCACAGGAGAGCCCAGCACCTTATATCTGCCCCTCAGCTTTTCCCTCCCCAGCCGCCAAGGCACGTGAGTCCCTGCTGGCCACTGTATGAGCCTGTGTCAGACATAGAAGTGGAGACACTTCTTACCACCTGTGAGCACAGTGTGACTCAGCGCTTCATTGGGTAGGAAAAAGCAAACCTGAGGTCATCTACATGGGATCACACTGCCCTGGAAACAATTCCACAGCACCAGGGCAGCACAAAGCTGGTAGCCAGGAGACATGGGATGCGCACAGGGCTAAGGCGGGTGATGTCATGACTGTGGCAGGAGAGATGGACCTGCAGGGGTACACAGGCCTCTGGAGACTAAAGGCCAGGCCAGAACGCAGCACTCCAGGCTGCAACACACTTATGGCAGGCAGATGAAAACTAGAGACTATGGAGACTAAACTGCCTCTGACCAACCGAGGGATGGAGATAAGAGGGTCCTCTGTTCCGAAGCCCCATGGCTCTTCAGCCAAGAACACAGAACCACAGGAGGGGTGGAGCCAGCAACCCGGCGCCTGCACCCAAGCTCACCTGATTTTACTGACAGGCTGAGTGGAGGCAACGATGGGGTGAGTGGCTTTCATGGGGTAGGTGAGGTCGGAGAATGGAGAGGGGGGAGGTGAACGGAGGTCATTGCCGATCGCCCTCCGCAGGGTGCTGGCCTGCAGTTATTGACATAAATAAAAACTTGGTGGTCTAAAAAAGGTTTCCGTGAGTGAAGAGGGAAAATAAAATAAATATAAATTAATTAAAATAAAATAAAAGAGCCCAGAAAGAATGAGGGGACAGAGGAGAAAAGGGGGGTGAAGAGGGGAGGTAGAAGAGTGGTGTTGGTTAGAAATCAAAACAAAAAAGGAAGGAGGTTTAAACCACCACCTCAGCACAACCAGTACTGCTGCCCACACAGCGCTCAGCAGGAGGCACCCTACCTCCCCTCAGCCCTCTTGCCTGCCACCCGCTCCCCACCCTTCCCACTCTGAGCAGCCTGGTTGGTGCCCAGCTCTTCCCTTCTGGCTCAACTAGGAGATTCCATCTATAGAAAACTGGGAGCTCTGGCTGGGCGTGGTGGCACACGCCTTTAATCCCAGCACTGGGAGGCAGAAGCAGGCGGAGCTCTGTGAGTTCAAGGCCAGCCTGGTCTACATAGTAAGTTCCAGGACAGCTGGGGCTACAGAGAGACCCTGTCTCAGTAAGACCAAAAAAAAAAAAAAAACAAAACCCCAAAACTGGGAACTCCTCTCAGCCTAGATGCCACGGGCCACCTGACATGTTCAGCAACCAGTGTCCGGCTCAAACCCCACTCTCTTCACCCCAAGACAGTCATTTCATAGCTGGCAAATCCCTGGGCCTACCAAAAGGCATTCTGTTCCTCTGGAATAAAAAGACCACTGTCCTCCAGGATTTCCTGCCCTCCTACTACATTACTACATTTCCACCTCCTGGGCCCCAAGGCAGTCCATCCCACACAGACCCACCTTCTTGGCTGACAGGGCCAGCTTTTTGGCTGGCGGAGGAGACATGAGGCTTGTGGGCTCGGTCGTGGTGGTGCTACCTAGGGCAGGGGATTTCAGCTTCGCCATCTTGGGATCTGTTCCATTTGGCAGCACTTTGGAGTGGCCAGCCGTTGGAGAGTTTGTTCCCTGAGAATCACAGAAATGGGCAGCTCTGCCCTCGGGTGTCTGCGGGGCCTTGGCAGGGACGCTGCTGGCGGAGTGCTCGGGGCTGGAGCTGTTGGAAGGCCCCTTCTCCGGGTCCACATCACTGCCTTCCCCCTTCAGCTTGTGCCCATTAGCAATGGCTTTAGCCAGGAGCTTTGGCGAGGTAGAGAGGACACTGTCCCTGCTCTCCCAGGAGCTAGGCCGTTGGCTCCTGGATTCACGGGTCCCAGGTGAGCCCTGAGAAGCATGGAGGGATGAGGTGAGAGAATGCGGGGAAGCCAGCTTCTTCACCTTCTTCCCAGGCTCCTCCAGGAGGGCCGGCATGTATGTGGGTGTCGGGGTGAGCTTGGGGGTCGGAGTGAACTTGGGGGAAGGGGACCCCATGGATGCCTTTGCAGGAACATATCCGTTCTGTGACTTCAGGCCTGGCATGGAGCCATTCCTGGACACAGGCACACCGACCTCCTCAGGGGTCTGCAACTTTTTCATCAGTACAGAGTCTTGTCGCTAAAAAGAAACAAAACAAACCAGTCAGAGCCCAAGGGAGCACGGGCCAGGGGAACACCAATGCAGGCTTCTGTAGCAGGCACGGCCTCTGAGAGCAAATTCTGTACCAGCACACGGCGAAGAGCTCTGTGCACCAGCACACAGTGGAGGAGGCTGCTGCTTCTCTCAGCAGCTGCAGTGCTTGGTGACTTGTCTGTCTTCACTGTGAAAGCAGTATGCTTTCATCAAGCTTTGAGAAAAGTGCACATGGGAGAAAATGCACCCAGTTCCATCACGGCCTCTGCTGTGGTGTGCTGCACCCCCATCCAGGCCCCTCACGGGTGATACTCTGGTTTTCAACTTCTGAACAGCCGCTATGCAATGCCTGATGGTTTGTATGGCTTGTGTTACCCTCTAATCCATGGTGTGCTTGTCTGTTCTCTTTCAGACAGGGTCTCCTGTAGCCACCCAAGTGCTGGGAGCAAAGGTGTGTGCCACCACATCAGGCTTAAGTCCATGATTTTTTTCTTTTCTTGGCCTTTTTGAGACAGGGTCTCCCTGTAGCCCCAGCTGTCCTAGAACTCACTATGTAGACCAGGCTGGCCTTGAACTCACAGAGATCCACCTGCCTCTGCTTCCGAGTGCTGGGATTAAAGGCGTGTACCACCACGCCTGGCTAAAAAAATCTTTTATTATTTTTATTTTATGTGCATGCGCGTATTGCCTGCATGTAGACAGCCCCAAGTCCATGATTTTTTAAAAAAGATTTTTCTAAGCTTACATATTCACCAAAAAATTAATCGTATTTTAGAAGTAAATTTAAAAAAAAAAATCCCAAGAGATCAATTAAAAATATGCCTCCAGGGGCTGGAGAGATGGCTCAGTGGTTAAGAACACTGGTTGTTCTTGCAGAAGACCCGGGTTCGAATCCCAGCACCCACACGGCCGCTAACAACCATCCATTAACTCCATTCCCAGGGGATTCAACAGCCTCTTCTGTCCTCTGTGGGCATTGCACAGCACGGGTGCACTTATCTACATGCAGGCAATACACACATACATATAAAATAAAAATAATAAGAAAATTTAAAAAAAAACAAAGAAGAGTTTGTTTTGTTTTGTTTTTTAAATGCCTCCAGGAGCAGGCATGGTGGTACACACCTTTAATCTCAGCACCTGAGGGGCAGATGCAGGGGGAGCACTTCTGACCAGTCAGGGCTAGTAAGATGCTGTCTAACAAACAATCAAACAGACAAATTCCAAAAGACACGTAAATAAGACTCTATACCATCCCAGATTCAAAGGAAGCAACTTTCTTCTATTCACTTTTGCTCTTTTAGTCTGCCCATCCCAAAGAACCCAGACCCCACAATGTACCACGGCACATCTCCAGAGGAGAATGTACCTAAAAGGCTTCTCACTACCTGTAGAGCTAGGGTTGCATTTTTAGAACATCTGAATAACCAGTTCATTGTCCTACACAGCTGTGTTTAACAGGAAGGAATCCTGTTGCTGTACAATACTATAAGTCAAAACTTGCTTTCTTTCTTTTTTTAGATAGGGTCTCCCGAGTCCCAGCTGACCTGGAGCTCACTATGTAGACCAGGCTGCCCTCCACCTCAGAGATCTGCCTGCTTTTGCCTCCTAAGTGCTAGAATTAAAAGTGTGCATCACTACGCCCAGGAATAGCCTTCCTCTCCCCCACCTCCACCCCAGACAAGGTTTCCCTATAGTCCCAGCAGGCCTGGAACGCTCAATGTAGACCAGGCTGTGGGCATTTACATACTCCTATAGGTTGGCTGTTTTCTTAAAAGACTCCATTCTTTCAAAGAAAAGTCTCACATACATGTTTTGTTTAAAATACAAAAACAACCGGGCGTGGTGGCAAACGCCTTTAATCCTAGCACTTGGGAGGCAGAGGCAGGCAGATCTCTGTGAGTTCAAGGCCAAGCCTGGTCCTACCTAGTGAGTCCCAGGCCAGCTGGGGCTACAGGGAGATCCTGTCTCAAAAAAGACCAAAAAAACAAAACAAAACAAAAAATACAGAAACAATTCATTAAATTTATAAACACAGTAAAATGAGTAAAATTTACCTAGGAAATTTGGGATTAAAAGACTGAAATTAGAAGCTAAACACACCTACATGTAACCAAAAATATAACTACTTTACTTCTACACGAATTTTTTTCTTTTTGAGACAGGGTCTGCCTGTAGCCCCAGATGGCTTGTAGACCAGGCTGACCTTGATCTCACAGGGATTAGCCTGTCACCTGAGTGTGCAAATCAAAGGTATGCACCACCATGCTCAGGTAAATTTTAAGAAATCTTAAAGAATGTTTTGTCCTCGTCAAGAAAAATTACCCCATAATTATGTGTCTTTTATGATATGCTGCCTTATTTCTACAACATTTAATCCAGGAATCAAGTTAAGAAGTAAACATTTGCTTCTTCTAAGGATATCTGACTATTTTTGTAGCTCAAAGGCATTTGATCCGCCCACCTCTGCACCATGCCCAGCTGAAAACATGCATTTTTTAGAAAAGATTTTAAAGAGTATGTATATGTACATGGGCTTGTACATGAGTACAGGTACCCTCAGTGGCCAGAAGAGGGCATCAGATCCCTCTGTAGGAGTTACAGGTCTAAGATGGATGCTAGAAACCAAACTCTGGTCCTCTGCAAGAACAGGACATGCTCTTAACCATAGAGCCAGCTCTCTAGCCCTCAAACTTGCTTTTTGATATGCATTTATGCAATGAAACTAGAAATTCCTGCCCTCTGACTCCCTAACACTTACCAGAGCTGTATGAAAGTAATCTGTCCTGTTTACAAACGTGTTTCATGTTTATAAACTTCAGCTGCAGCACAAAGCTTCTCTCTTTTGCCACCACAATCCTTGAAACTCATGCGCGGTTTTACAGTTGGGCTCTCAGGCTGGAGAATGGCTCAGCAGCTAAGAGCACTGGCTGCTCTTAGAGAGGACCGCACTTCATTTCCCAGCACCCACATGGTGTTTACGACTACCTGTAACTCCAGTTCCAGGGAATCCAACACCCCTTCTGGCCTGAGGGCACTGCATACACATGATACACAAACATACATGTAGGCAGAACACACACACATAAAAATAAGCAAATCTAAGAAACTTTCTCCAGTATTTGCTGAAGGGTGGGAACATAGCAGTGGAGCATCTGCCTAGCATGCAGGTGGCCAGGGTTCAACCTTCAGCACTAGAACTGGAAATGGGATTAATAGGCCGTGAATGTTTTATGAACTTTGGTGTATGTGGCTGAATCCCACTTACTATTTATTCATTTATTTATTTGGTCTTTTTGAGACAGGGTCTCCCTGTAGCCCCAGCTGGCCTGTAACTCACTCTGTAGACCAGGCTGGCCTCAAACTCACAGAGATCCGCCTGCCTCTACCTGCACGTGTACATACATACTAGCACCAGCTGTGCCATGAGCATACACACGCTGAGCAACACCTTCCAGTCTCTTAATGCAAACATTCACCAAGTTTTACTGTTTAATATTTCATGTACAAAAATTTACATTTCACTTTTTGCTAATCTCTACTTCTTACCAATTTTAAGGTTACGAAGTCTTCTTTTAGAGGTTTAATTAGAAATCACTTCTGCTTTCTAAAGGGTGGTACACGCCTTTAATCCCAGCTGCGGGCATTTACATACTCCCATAGTTTGGTTGTTTTCTTAAAAGATTAAAACTCCATTCTTTCAAAAAAAAAAAAGTCTCACATATATGTTTTGTTGTTTAAAATACAAAAACAGCTGGGTGTGGTGGCACACGCCTTTAATCCCAGCAGAGGCAGAGGCAGGCGAGATCTTTGTGAGTTCAAGACCAGTTTGGTCTACATAGTGAGTTCCAAGCCTGTCAGAGCTGCATAATAAGGCCCTGTCTCAACTGCCAAACCCCCAAACCAAGGAAGGATGGAAGGATGGAAGGAGAGGGAGAGAGGGAGGGAGGGAGGGAGGGAGGTTACTTCTACTTCCAGGCTGTTTCCTAACAGAATACATCCTCCCTCGCACTGCAAAGCCTCTCCATTTATTGAACGTCTATGTACACACTGGTACTCATTTAAAGTAAAATGAAGCTAGGTGTGATAGCTCACACCTATAATTCCAGCACTCAGGAGGGGGGAGGATCATTTTGAGTTCAAGGTCAGCCTGGGTTATAAAGAAAGACCCTGCCTCTTCCCCTCAAAATGACTATGTATCTGTGGTACATTTGGGAAACTGTCAACGTTCATGGTAAGTAAAGCAGTCATGCCCTGCAGCTGTGTCTAAGGAGATGCTCTGGGCACCAGGGTCTGCCTCCTCCACCTCACAGTGAGGCTGCCAGCTCTGTGACAGACTGTAGTGACTTCAGCTCTGCAGACAGATCACGTGGCGTATCACTACATCAATCCCATGTTCCTAACAAAACCTTCTGTTTTCTGGAAGGCTAGGTTTAGAGATGACTAAAAGCCCTGCAGCCTGCAAGGCTCTGATGCCCTTCAGTGGGAAGGGAGATCTCCCAGACAGGCTCTAAAAAGGTCAGTGGACACTGACCATCAGACAGCTCACAGTTACCATCAGTAAAACTGAGGTAACAAAGCGGCAGAAAAGTCCAGGTGCCCACAGTTAAGCTTCATTGCTCTGTGTGCATAGCTATGTTTATGCATACATATCCACACGTTTCTACTCTGAACGATATGAATAAACTGCCGCCATCATGCCATTTTACCCCAGGTTATGTTGTGTCAAGCGCCACAGAATGGGACAGAGGCACAAGTTCATTACCCCAAACCAGGACACCAGTGTTGGCAGAAAATGCAGTGGGCTGTCTGCATTAGAGCCTGGCATTCAGTCCGCCTGCTGAGCCTGCCCAGCATGTCCAGGCAGCAGCTGATGCCCAACAGGCTGGTACAGGGCTGCCGCCTACAAACTCCCCTCTTGTGGTCGAGGTTCTCCAGAGACCCCTGGAGCTCTACCACCTCTTTGGCTTACCTTTGCCATCAGTGGGGAGGAAGCCACCCCGTTGCCAGGGATCTTCTTGGGGTGATCTGGAATAACACTGGGACGGCTAGGAATGGTGGGGCCTGCCCGGGAGATAGGGCCCTCAGGGCTTTTCTTTGAGCTTGGAACCCTGCAAAGGAAAAAAGCAATCAGGGAATTTTCCCACTCGTGGCAAGAATGGAATGCACAGCAGTATCGGAGCAAGGGACAGTCAGGATCCCACTGGCAAAGCAACACGCCCGGGATCCTCAGTGTCCAGACAGGCTCTCACGGCTCTCACTTGCCCTTTTCCCTCCAAAAGGCTAGGGCAATCCTGGACATTCATGTGTGAGAGACAGAGCCCGGATGGTCAAAGGCCTTCCAGAAAAGATCCTCAAGGAACCAGTAAGAGCCCCCAAATCTGCCACCCAGACTCAATATGGTGGCACAAAGTAGCAGTTCCCCAGGGATACCCTCCAGCCTCTAGGTCAATGGGTAGCCACCCACAATAGCTGCTCCATCCCTCACCCCCTCAACCCGAGATGGCTTCCCGTTAGGAAGGTGCCAAAGCTGTGCCACACAGAGCCAAAGTCTTCATTTATTAAACAACAGAAGGTGACAGTTAGCCACTTGCTACCATGGATGGTCAAAATCCCCTCTGCCCTTCCTGATCTCACCTACCCACCCAGCAGGCTTAGTTGAATGATCCTTCCCAGTGGATAAGCTCCTTACAAGTGACTGTGGGATGGTATCCACAGAATTCCCAGGAGTTTGTAGACAGAAAAGGATGGAGGGACCCCTGGTTCAGGCAGAGCATGCCCAGGGCGCGAGCAGTTCTGGGAAGTAGGGAGGAGGTTCCTCACCGCAGGTAGAAGAGAACGTAGGCCTGCTGGTTCAGAACCACCTTAGCATTGCTGGGATGGACCAAGGAGTCGTTCATCTGGTACCACTGTCCATTGCTGGCCTGAGCAGCCCGGGGGGGACAGGAAACCACAATCAACAGACGGTCCACAATCCACATACACCCCCTAGTTTTGAGATAGAGACTTATTATGTATTCTAGGCTGCTCTCAAACTCGTGATCCTCCTGCCTCAGTCTCCTGAATACTGGGTTTATATAGGCATGGTTCAGCAAAGTCACCAGTGAATCAAGAAGGAAAAAAAAAAATCACTAAAATTGTTAATCATTTAAAATTACATTATTTATAGGAGGGGGTGTGTACATGTTTCACAGTGGAAGCGCGGAGGTCAGAGGGCAACATGCAAGAGTCAGTTCTCCCCTTTCACCATGTGGGCTCTGGTGAGCGAACTCGAGATGGTCAGGCTTGGTGATAAACACCTTTACCTGCTGAGCCAGAACCACACTTTAAAAATACGTATTTTTATCCATTCACAAAAACAAGAAGGACCTGAACACAAACACAAAACACTGCCACTTTCCAGAGAAAAGTGTGCTCAGCCTCATTCAGACCTCACGGGCACGGGCCGCTCCTCCCAGAAGGCACACCGGCCCACAGCCACAGAGGCTGAGCACAGAAGCCGGCACTCACCTTCACATAGCAGTAGTAGTGGCCAGCATGGCAGCTGTAGCCTGAGTGCACCAGGACAGCATAGAGCCCGTACGTGACAGGGTCACCATTGCTCTGCGACATGTATGGACGGATGTTCAGGAACTCAGGATAGCCAACATCCTGGTTAAAAAGGACAAGGGAGGCAACATTCACTCAGAAGCATAAGGGGCATTCTTCTTTTATATCCATCACTCAAAAAATGTCTTGCTTCACCGGAGTGGCGGTGCATGCCTTTAATCCCAGCACTCCGGAGGCAGAGGCAGGCAGATCTCTGTTGAGTTCAAGGCCAGCCTGGTCTACATAGTGAGTTCCAGGCCATCTGGGGCTACAGGGAGACCTTGTCTCAAAAAGACAAAAAAAAAAAGAAATGTCCACTTTGACCAGTCTTCACCATGTTCTCTAGGTTAGCTTCCAATTCACTATGTAGTCTAGGCTGGTCTCCAACTCAACTAAGTAGCCAGGTTCCTATGTAGCCCAGGCTAGCCTTAATTTGTAATCCTTCCATCTTCATCTCCCAAGTGCTGGAATTACAGACGTGGCCACCACATCCAGTTTTTTTCTTTCTACTGACAAACTCTGAAAAGTCAATATATACAGAATGGGTTTATGCACCACAACATAACCTCATTATGATACAGGGGACTTCAAAATCAAACAGACTACTGCTTCTCAGACTGAGCTGTACCGAACTGCTTTCCTAAGCTGCCCAGGGAGGCTGCTCAGGACAAAACCAAAGCAGTCATGTACCAACAACCTACAGCACAGCACAGCGTAAACAACACAGTAAAATGAGGGTAAATGACTCCAGGAGTATGTCTACCCAATTCCTTTTTAAAAACTATTACATACAGGCCACCTGTGGAGGCACATGCCTTTAATCCCAGCACTTGGGAGGCAGAGCTGGCAGATTTCTGAGGGATGGAGATCAGCCTGGTCTACAAAGTGAGTTCCAGGCTAGGTGGGGCTACAGCGAGACCCTGTCTCAAAGACTGCCCTCAAAATTATTACATATCATTTGTGTGTGTGCCATACACATATGTCACAGAAGCTGTGTTGAGGTCAGATGACAACTTTCAGGAGTTGGTTCTCTCCTTGCATCCAGTGCGTCCTGGGATTCAAACTCAGGTCCTCAGGCTTGGTGGCAGGTGCCTTTACCCACTGAGCCATCCATCAGCCCTAGACAATTTTTATATTAAACTCTCCTCTTAAAGATTCAAAATACAAAATAACTTCATGAAGGCCCTGAGAAACCCTGCAAATATGGCCCCTGTGGCTTAGACAAGTGTCTTGCCCCAAATACGTAAGTGGCTCTAAGAACAGAAAGCTAGACTTCAATACAGCCATTGTTTAGTAAAGCCCCATTGCACAAAAAAATCTGGGGGGTCTTTTTGAGACAGGGTCTCTCTGCAGCCCCAGGTGGCCTAGAACGTGATATGAAGACCAGGTTGGCCTTGAACTCACAGATTTCCATCAGCCTTGGCTGGGATTTGTGCCCCACCACACCTGGCTTCAAAATCATTTTTTCACACCATGTCATCAAAAGCCTTAGCATACAGTCACAGACTGCACGTACAGATCAGAGCTAGGCCATTCAATGCTCACCATATTTATTCTTAAGAGAACCCTGGTCTTCCAACTCAGGAACCCCAAAAACAGGCAGGTAGAGGTTGGGGGAACCAGTAAGACAGTGGCTTTCAAAATGCACTGTACATGAGGCTGGAATGATGGCTCAGCAGCTAAGAGCACTGGCTGGCTACTCTAGAACAGAACTTGGATTTGGTACGCAGTACCCACATGACAGCTAACAACCATCTATAACTTCAGCTCCAGGGGATCTGAAGTCCTCTTCTGGCCTTTGTGGGCATTGCGTACATGTGATACACTTATCTGCAGGCAAAACACTTGTACACATTTTAAAGTCACTATATGTGGGCCGGGCATAGTGGCGTACGCCTTTAATCCCAGCACCTGGGAGGCAGAGGCAGGGGGATCTCTGTGAGTTCAAGGCCAGCCTGGTCTACATAGTGAGTTCCAGGACAGCTGGAGCTACAGGGAGACCCTGTCTCAAAAAGACCAAAAAAAAAAAAAAGTCACTATATGCATGGGGCTGTGGAGATGACTAAGCAGTTAAGAACACTTGCTGCTCTTCCAGAGACCCAAGTTCAGTTCCTGGCATACTCTGGCTTCAGGGGATAGGATGCCACCTCCTGGCCTCTGCAGGTACCCATATATGTATGACATGTACTCACACAGACACCCACATACACAGAAATAAAAAATAAAAGTAAATCTAAAGAAAAATTGCATTGTATGTAATAGCAATTAGAGGTTTTCAAGAAGCAGACTCCCAGGCCCTGCCCTGTGAAGAGGAGTCCAGCTGACTGGTATGCAGACACTCACTCAGGTGGGGGGACACAGTCAGCACTCACTTTGGTGATCTTCCCGCCACTGAAGTTGGCAAAGCGCTTGAGGGACAGGGTTAAGACATTGGATGTTCTGTGGATGGTGAAGCGCTTGCTGGCTGGAACCTTCTTCTTGCATCTAGGAAGAGTGAACAGAAAACTATTAGTTTAAGCTCTTCAGTGATATGGTTCCACTACACTGGTGAACGGGACTGATTTAAGGCTCTTTCTAAATGAGTTTTGAGCACCCCAACCACTAAAATCCACACGCTTCAAGTTAAAGAAAGCTCCTGAAGGACACAGACGAGAGCGAACCGGCAGTCCTAAAGCAAGGTGACCTCCTCTACCAGAGCTGAGGAAGAGGCACAACTGACAGCCTTTGAGGTGATGCAAGAGAAACACAAAAGCAGATGAGGCCAAGCGATAAACAGGCAAGCAGGAAGCCAGCCTATGCAGAGCAGACAGGTAAACGGATGGGAAGGGATGGAGATAAAGAACATCACGTCCCAAGTCCAGGGAAGATTTAGAGAGGGATAAAAATGTAACACAACAAACAAAAAACTTGTGACAGGAGAATCCTGGGAAGCAGAATTAAAAGTTTTCTTTAGTGGTTGCAGCTTTAAAATAACCCATGATCCTACCCAGTAGACTTCGCCACCATTTTAGGGATAAGGAGTTCTGTGTGCTGACACAGAAAGATGCCCATGACCCAGTTAGTTAAAAGCAGAAGCTGCAGATAGGTCTCATCAAAGAGACAGGAGCGTGTGCATGTGAGTGTGCATGTGCTTGTGAGCGTGCGAGTATGCTCCTCTATTATATCCTGAATGGGACTGTGGGTCCACCCCTTTGCCTCTCTGTGGTTAGTTTTGCACCCTAGACACTGGGTAACATGAAACCAAACCTCTGCCACAGGGCCAGGTGCCAGGTGACCAGAGCTATGGACCTCAGGGACACCCCTCCATTCACCTTGCTGGAGGGCCTGTCCACAGGCCAGATTCAGGCTGCTTACCAAGTGTGAGCAACTGTACCCTTGAGGGAGGAACAGGAGATTTATTTTATGGTTTTCTCTTGCTACAAAAATGTGACACTTACTTAGCACACATATAGGCATTTTCTCCACTCAGGACATCTGATTTCACGAAGAGCTCCAGGGCGCGCACAATATTTGCAGCTTGCTGAGGACAAAATGGAACAGAATTAGTAGCAGAAGAAAAAGGAAAATTTAAGGTCTTTTCAGGCTAAGGTGGCAGATGACAAAACCTGACTTGCATAAAAATTGGACCACCATCCCCGACTCCCTCCCCCCACCCCCTGCCCAGGCACAACACCCATAGCTAAGGAGCAGCTGGCAGGCTGTGCGGTAAGAGGGAGCACCACGCGAGGTAGCAGGCACTTTCACCTCAGGCTGCTGCAGTAGCTCAGAAGCTCCTGGTCCCAACAAAGGCAAGGACATCTGGCCTCCAGGCCCACATCCTGCCTCCTGGCCCATCTGCTCCAAAGGCTGTTCCCAGCATGCTACAGGTTCTCTCCTCAGACCCTCACTGTGTGCCTCAGAACACAAACTCAGCCTTACTTTTTTTTATTAAATGAAAGCCATCTGCATAGCAAAGCAGCTAGCTGATGCACCAAAGGTGGCCTCGTGCTGTGGGCAGCGAGGGCAGCTCCTAGCAGGCACGCAGCTGCGGGGATGCTCAGCATGTCTTGTCCGAGTCAATTCTGACTTAAAGCCGTTCTCGCTGTTCAGCCCTCTCCCTCCTGGCACCCTCAGGAACAGACCCCAAGCATACCCGAATCTCCAGTGCTATGTCCAAGTAAGGGTCATAGGTGTCTGAGACGCTCTTGCACACGGAGCACTTCACTACAACAGAACAAGGAAGCAGTCAGCGGGCAGCTGTGATCCGTGAGGGGAGCCACCCAGGTTCTGAGACCTAGAACCACAGGTCTACAATGTTCAACTTGGTTCTTGCCAGGCTTTGCTCGCAGGCCTAGCCTTCCTGCCTGGCACTCTGTGCTGGATAGCTTTAGTGTCAACTTGACACACCTGGGTTGAGGGACCCTCAATCGGGAAATTGCCTCTATTGGACTGGCCTGTGGCCCTGTCTGAGGGGCATCTTCTTGATGAGTGATGTGGGAGGGCCCAGCCCACTGTGGGTGGTGCCACCCCTGGGCAGGTGGGCCTGTGTTGCATAAGAAAGCAGGCTGAGCAGGGGCCAGGGGAGCAAGCCAGTAAGCAGCATTCCTTCATGGCCTGTGCTCCAGCTCCTGCCTCCAGGTTCCTGCCCTGAGTTCCCACCTTGGGCCCCCTTATGAACTGTGACCTGGGAGATGTAAGACAAATAAACCCTTTCCTCCCCAAGTTGGTACTGGTCAGAGTGTTTTGTCACAGCAATGAAGAACAAACTAAGACACACTCCAAGAGAGTGGGCAAACCCTCCGCGGTCAGAGAACGCAGGCCGCACCCCAGGGGCTGAGGAGTTACTGTTCAGATCTCCTTAGCTAGAGAACACGTGGCCTGCTTACCTCGGGATCTGAGATAGCCTCCAAAGATCTGATGCACCAGCGTAGTAGCCTGAGTCTGCCGATCCAACCTGCAAGGCACAGCACAGCAAAGTACACTGTTAGCCAGTTTCCCGACTGTCCAGTCACCAGCTCAGCTGACAATAGGAAATTCCATCCCACATCAACCCCACACTTTCAGCTAGGTAGGCAGGCCCACCATGCCCAGAGTTCTGCAGATGTTCTGTTTACACAAGCTGCTGAGACCTTCACAGCCCGCTCCCACATCAGCAGGCAACCTTGCCATCCACACTACAGAACCTGTGTCCTCATCCAGTGGCACCACTGTATAAGGACCTGGAACTAGGTTGGGGTAACAGGCTCAGTGCTCCCCTGGGCTACAGAGCCTAAGCCCACAGGTTCATCAGTGCTGGCTCTACTGTGCAGGGATGGCTGGGCCCCAGACAGGCGGGTCACTGACTTCTCCCTTAGGACTGCTTACTATGGGGAATCTGGCACACTCAGCCTCACTGCCTAGCATCCCCAGGGCAAAGATTCAGCCTTCCTCAGTTAAGTATCAGTAACTGGGTCCTGCAGGCTCTGGACAACATACCACTTTAGACTCTGTTCCTGCCCCAGTCGCCCCTTGGCACTAATCCTGGCCCTGGAGTCTTCACTACAGGAAGATGGCCTGGGAGGGAGCCTTCTTCCCTGCTGCCTCTTCCTTTGCCCCCAGGTCCAGCTCCTCAGTCGCTTGATGACTCCCTCAGCTGCCATCTCTGTCAGGTGTAAAATCCTTGGCCACGTGTTGCGTGGTGCTCCCTCTAGGGCTTTCTAGTGGCCCATGCCACCCAATGGAACCCATGCTGCAGTTTACTGCCCTATGGCACCAGGCCTTTACTGCCCGTGGTACTTCCTGAAGTCAGGGAGTGTCAAAACACGTGAAGAAACAATCTGTATTGTGCAAAGTTAGGAAATGAAAAATTAACCACCACCGCTCATCGAAAGAAGGGACACTTTAACTCTCCAGACTGGCAGGGATGCAACTGTGGGGCCACTGAAACCCGAGAACAGCCACGGATGACAGAGAGCAGCTGCCCACCCAAATGGCTGCAGCTCAGAAGCTGGGAGAACCGGAGCACCCACAGCACCCAGCACAGAGAGGCTCCGGGTCCGGACGGAGCTGGTTCCGGACTCCAGCAGATGCTGCCCTCCACGCTTCCATGTGACCCGAGGACAGGAGCCACAAGAACCACGGAGGGAGGAGGTGGAGGCCAGCTGGGTCAGGCCCACGTCCCCTGCTGTCAGCACAGGGATTACCAACGGGAACTACAGGGGCCTGGGCAGTCTCCAAAGGCTGGGGAGGAAAGTGAAAGGGCAGGCGGGCATTCCTGAGACTGGGTGGGGAGGAGAACGGGGGCCACTCAGGGTTTGACCCCCCCAACTGGAAAAACCTCGCAGGAAAGCGCCCTCACACTGCCCTGTGCGGACAGAGGCCATGTGGTCCTTAGAATACAGGGGAGAGGGAAAGGGGCGGCCTCCACCTATGCACAGGTGCTCTGCGCAGAAACCAGCAGCAAAGAAGGGGCGACACGGTCAGGGGAACCGTCCCCGAAACAAGCATAACAGGAGAAAACTGGGAGGACCCAGCCCAAACTGGATTAAACCGCCTTGAACATCTGAGACCATCCCGAACAAGAAACTTTAGGTAATAAAAGCTAAAACAGCCAGGCATGGCGGTGCACACCTTTAGTCCCAGCACTTGGGAGGCAGAGGCAGGTGGATCTCAGACCCTGTCTCAATAAGACCAAAAAAAAAACCAAAAACACCCCCAAAACCAAAAACCAAACAAACCCACAATCTCATTCTGGGAGGGATGGATGGTACAGCACGTCAGGTACATGTGGCTCCTGCACAGGACTCAAGGTCAGTTACCAGCACCCACTTCCGACTGTTCATCACCTTCTACAATTCCAGGGCCATCCAGCGCCTTCTGGCCTCTGAGGGCACCTACGTATACACTACAGACAAGCACACACATGCCACTCACTCAGACATGCACATTTACACATAAATAAAAATAAAGAGGGGAAGCCGAGCATGGCAGTACATTCCTGTAATCGAGGCACTTCTGGGCAGAGGTGGGAGAATTAGGAGTTCAAGGCCAGCCTGGGCTAAATGACACATTGTCTTAAGTAAGTAATAAAGAGCACTAATTTAAGTGAAAAAGAAACAAGGCAGAAACCCCCTTCAGAGGTGGGGAGTGCATCAGGAGAACACACCCAAGTAAGAGCCAACCCGAGGCCCCAGAAGACAGGAGCACAAGCGGCTGAGACGGGGTTAACGGTGCTGGACGAGGTAAAGGCACTGGGTAACTGGAGGTCCTGACAAAGAAAAGCGACCAAGGCTCCAACCCAGGGCACCTCCCCTAGTGGTAAAAACAGAATGCCAGGACTGCAAGTGCGACCCCTCGACAAGTCACTTTCCCAGGAGACTCCAGAGGACAGCTGATACGAGGCTGTCCTTATGACGGGCCACACTGAAGGCCACTTTCAGGCTAACGCCAGAGCCGAACAACGCGGGGACGCAGGGACACACCGCACAGGGCAACCAGTCGGGATGTGACTATGTTGTACACTTTCAAATGTTTGACAACAGTGCCGAGTGAGGTGGCACAAGCTGTAACCCTGCACACAGGGAAGCTAAGGCAGGAGGAGCATGACCTTGAGGCCAGCTTGGGCTGCACAGCCAGACCCTGACTGAAAAACAAAACCAAGCAGCAGAACAAGCAAACTTGTACCGAGGTGGACTAAAACCCTGACGAACTGCAACGTCTCACCTCGGGTCTTACCGTGGGCTTCCACACAGTGCACTGACCCGCGTCCTGCCACTCCACACTGCTTCAACATAACGAAGGGATTTTAGAGGCTGGAAGAATTCACAGCCACAGCTGAACTTTTTAAAGAGAGCTGCTAGAGCAGAGCCAATGCCACATGATACTGCCAACTGCCCTGGTCAGGAGCGAGTGGGGGATCACCCCCCCGTGAGCTTCAGCAGTCGGGTTCCTGGACACCAATGCTACCACAAAGACAGCCTGAGGTACCCACAGCAATGTCCTGCTGTCCCCCGACAGAAAGGCACCCACAGCCAATCGGGAAGCGTAGGGAAGGCGAGCACGTACTTGGCATAGCCGTTCAAGCAGGCCTTCTGCATGGCATCGATGGTGTAGCGGAGGAACTCGTGTGCATCCTCTTGGTTCCCGAAGCGGAAGTGCCGGGCAATCTCTGGCGAGGGAAGGAAGAGGTAGAGAAGAGGTTGCCTGCCCTTCAGCAACCACCACCTGCCTTACGGTCAACTGCTCGTGGTCACTTTTCCAAGAGCCAACGTACCATGTTGTAGTGGTACACAGGCTCAACACAACCACTGTGGGCCCAGCTTTCCTGCCAACTGACCAGGAAGCAGGATCTCCACAGCACTGGGCAGCTGGGTCCAGTACAACCCCCGCCCTCCCCACCCAGCCCACACTCACCTGCCTGTCCTGATCACACAACACAGCTCCACCTAGCCAAAACCTCCCTGCTCTTCCAAGTGGGGCCCTTGTAGAAAGCCTCCCTCAGTGAAACAGTCAAAGCCACATGTCTAGACCAACTACCATGCCTTGGGTCTGCACCACTAAGTGCGCTAAGTATGGGACCTTCCACACAGAGCTGTTCCTGAGACCAGTCAGGGCTTTTCCCTTCATCTAACTGCAGTGAACACCCAGCAGGCACTAAACCACGAATCCAGTCTTACTTTTCAGGTCTCTGATGAAGGAGATGGGCTTGATTGCATTGCCACTGTTGGCAAAGGCCTGGACGATATGGTTCTGCATGACACATAGCATGCAGAAGCTTCCTTGGTGACCTGTGGGAGGAAGAAGCAAAGTCAAGACCAATGCTTCCCTGAGAATTCACGACACCCCAATCCAAATGAAGCCTAGACTGTCCAGGACAGGATGGGATTTGGGGGGGTCTCAGAGATCCCAGACCCCCGCAGACATGGACAGCGAGATGATGAGAGAAGTGCTTCTCTCTGCTGACTGGTGTCTGGGGGTCTGAGTCACACATCTCACATCTCACATCCACATTGCTGCCCTGTGCAAGACCCTTCTCCTGTCACTTAAACAAAAAATAAGTCCTATTTTTCAACATGAAATTTACAAAACACCTCTGGCACTGGGGTTGTGGGCCAGTTACACCTTTATAAAACTGAAGGCCTGAGCCAGGACTGGAGCACTGTGCTTGTCATCTAGGGGAACAAGTCCTCAACAAGAAATACAAAGAAACCACTGTACCTCCTGGGACAGAAAAGTTTCTAGTTATGCTGTAGGGTTGACAGCACAGTAGGGCTTCCTGATGGTCCCTTGACTTACTCCTCGAACATGGGGACTTCCACTCCACTGTGCTAGTAAAGGACTCACCACTGTTTATTACCTGCTGAAAACTCTGTCACAAGACAAACGGCAAATATTCTGACTTTGTAGCTACACAGCCCACATTAAAAAGTGCCACAGAACGTCACTGACGGACGGCCTGCTGTCCCTCATTTCAGTGTCTTGGAAGGGAATATCAGTGCCACAGGTGAGCTCCCCTCGGTCCCTCAGTCCTGTTCTCCACGCCCCTTTCACCAAGGGGGCAGCGACTCTGCATTAGACATGACTGATTCCATTCAGTGCACTCCTTAGGACACACACTATAACATCATAGCTCTGTGTTTACAAGCTCAGTTTATGTAAACTGCACTGTGCAGTCAGGTACCCTCTGCACCAGCAAGTTGCTGTCTTAAAATCTGTTGCTAATGCAGCTCTAGCTCCTTCAACCCCATGGCTAGAATAACCCGGAATGCATGGACAGGCCTGCTTCCACCTCCACCCAGCAAACCCCACCCTTCCATCCTTCTGCTTTTGCGAACCCACAACGTCCTTGTGCAGCCGGGTAAGTTTCTCTAAGGGATAAATGGATCTAGAAAAATTCCTGGATCAAAGAGAAGCATGCTTTGATTCGGCAAGACCTGCATACAATGCATGGTCTCCTAAGCTGATCTGGCCTGTAACGAAATCCAACCCCAATTAATTATCTTCCACTCAGTACTTCAATTAGCCCATTACTTAACGCACCTCAACAGCAGTGACAGAGCAGCCCGCGTCCTGCCCACAGGCACACAGGAACACGCTGACACTCACAGGAAACGCCCCTCTCGGAGGCTCAGAGAACTGCTCTGCGGTCGCCCTACGGAAGTGCTGCTTTTGGTTTGTGCTCTGCTGGCTTTTGTTTACGGTACTGGGGAAGCGAACTTCGGCCTTGTGCATGTTAGGCGAGTACTCTGCCAGCACACTACATCTCAGTCCTCTTTAGCTTCTGTAAGAGTTACCATCATTGCTGTCGTCATCATCGTCGTCATCGGGGCACATGCCAATTCCGAGAACATGTCTGTGGAGTCAGTTCTCCTTCCACCTGAACATGGGTTCAGGAGATGGCACTCAGATGGTCAAGCTCACACCTTTGCAATGTGAGGTGACTGGGAGGACAGGCCTGCGCTACTGGACCTGGCTCTCTTTGACTTTAACCACATCCATTCATTCATCTAGTTTTAGATGAGAGAAGTGGTTAGGGGAGACTCAATACCATTTACTTGTACTAAAACAAAACTGTATCAACTGTTAAAAGATCTCCTTTTCTGGGGCTGGAGAGATGGCTCAGTGGTTAAGAGCACTAGCTGCTCTTGCAGAAGACCCAGGTTCAGTTCCCAGCACCCACATGGCAGCTAACTAACACCTATCCTTAACTCCAGTTCCACGGGATCCAACACCCTCTTCTGGCGTCCCTGGGCACCAGGCACACATATACTGCACTTACACACATGCAGACAAAACATACATGTAAAATAAAAAGAAATAAAATCTTAAAAAACAAAAAAAAACCCAACAAAAAACCCCAACTCCTTTTCTAAAACCCAAATCTACGTAAGACATAGAACTCAAGTGGAAACAGCCTCCAGCCACTGTGGGCAGGCTGCTGACTTCTGCCTGATAAAACATCCCTACTAAGTAAGTGGGGCTGGAGACAATCTAAGGAAGGGATGCCTGAAATGGGGCTTCCCAGCTTTCCAGCAATATGAGTGTTTAAGGGGCACAGGGACACACTTTTCTGTAACTTAGAAACATAATAAAGCCCATGACTTTGCACACACAGCTGCTATCTGAAAGCTGCAGACTAAAGGATTTAATTCTGTGCCTCCTGTATTTCTTACTCAGCTGAATATTGGGCTGACAGCTGGCCTGTGGCAGGAACCTGGCTTGGTGCGGTACACACAGGAATTGCCAGGTACAGGCTGGCTTAGGCCCTGGGGGCATTCTGGGTAGCGCTCAAGGGAGAGCCAAGTCTAGCAGGGTGCCCAGAGAAAAGGGTAGAGGGAAAGACTTCTCTCCAGAAGTTTTACTCTAAAGAACCTGAGGCTGAATATGGCAGCACATGCCTGTCATCCTAGCACTTGAAGGCTGAACCAGGAGGACTGCCACAAGTTGAAGACAGTTGGGGCTACACTGTAAGACAGCATCAATAAGAGGAGACGTGTCACAGGACAAGATGGCCCACGTGGAAGGTACCAACCATGGTGCGTTACCAGCACCTACCACACCACACTGCAGCTGACCTGTGCCAGGTAATGAGGCTTTAGAGTCGTGGCACAGCATTACCTAAGTCAGTCCTAACAGAGCTGAAAAATCGCTCAGAAGGCTTCCTGCAACACAATCAAGCATGGAAGGGGTCCACAGGGAAACACATGGACAAGAAAATGGGGCTGCAGACACAACTCAGGAATTAAGAGCACCGGCTGCTCTAGCAGAGGGCCTGGGTTCAGTTCCCAGCACCCACATGGTGACAAACAACCGCCTGTAACTCCAGATGCAGGAGATCCGAAGTCCTCTTCTGACCGACCCCTGTGGGTACTGCATGCATGTGGTATATTTAACAAGCAGCAAAACACTCATACATATAAAATAAAATAAAAAAAAAAAAAGAGATGGGAGGCCACTTGTGTGGTTTTGTGAGGAGGGGATTTATTAAGTTTTATAATTTTTTTTTTTTTTAGTATTTTATTTAATTTTAGGTGTCTGGGATTTATGCCCTTATGAGAGGAAGCGCCCCCATTTCATACAAAGCCTGCGGAAGACAGAAGAGGCTGTCGGATCCCCTGGAACTGGAGTTACGAACACTTGTTAGCTGCCATATGGGTTCTGGGATTCAAACCTGGGTCTTCTGCAAGAACAAACCAGTGTTCTTAACTACTGAGACAACTCTCCAGCCCCTTTTTATTTTATGTGTAGGAGTGTTTGCATGTATTTATGTGTACCCTGTGCATGCAGTGCCTGCAGAGGTCAGAAGGGGGCATTGGATCCCTTGGATCTGGAGTTACGGATGACTGAAATGCCAGGTGAGTGCTAGGGACTGAACCCAGGTCCTCTGCAAGAGCTGCCAGTGCTCTAACCACTCCAGCCCCGGGTAGGAGAATCTTACTGCTAAGACCACGATATAAAGATGACAATCTGACAACTCTGACAAAAAGCCACCCAAGACAGCTTCCCTAGTACCCAGGTAACATCTGGAAATAGGGATTCTGACTACCAGTGGATAATCAGCTTTACCCTAAAGCGCATACAAGGCCTTCATCTGCCAGGAGCACTTGTGACTGTGTCTCTGCTGTACCATGTCCATGCATTCTTTTCTTAAGTTGCTAATGTTTCTAGTAAGACTAGGGTTAAACCCAGGATCTCACACATTAGGCCAGGACTCGAACACTGAGCTACATGCTCAGCCGCAATCAACTCTTTTTAAGTAACAGAACTCCTGAACGCCTCATGCAACACAGCTTTGGGCTACCATCACGCCTGTCTTGTATCCACTTGCCTCCAGACCCAGCCTGAGCGGATCCTTGTTTGTCCTAATTTCATGCTTTTCTTTTTCTTAAAAGCTTCAACAGCTACAAGCTGGCTCACCGGGGAAGAGCCTGCTGTGAAAGCAAGAGGACCTGAGTTCAAATCCTCAGCACCCACGTAAAAGTTGGGTACGACCACATGTGCTTATAACCCCAGCACTGTAGGGCTGAGAGAGGAGCACCCCAGGAGCTCACTGGCCAACCAGTCTAGCCAAAAGGGTGACCTTTGGGTTCAGTGAGAGATTCTGGTAATAATAGTAAGATGGAGAGCAATAAAGACAGCCAATGCACCCCTCTATACATGTGTACACCTGCACATATGTGCCCAATTACCACACGCACAAAAATGACATCAAGTTCTATCATATACATGATGAAAAGACACTAAACCATTTTGTTTATGTTTTGAATTTGTAAGCGGGAATTCTGGGCTGGGGGCATGACTAAGAGGTAGAAGGCTTGCCTTGCCCACTCACAGCCCAGCATACCACAGAAACACTCATGTATGTGCACATGTGCGGGCACACATACATGTGGAAGTGGTACTGTATTCTAAGAGACCTTCTTGACCACTGGACGTCATGTTACTAAGACTCATCTGGATGCTGAGCTCCGTGGCTCTGCACTGCGCACACTCCTGTGTAAGACAGTAACGTAAGTCTATTCTGAGGGTAGGCGCTTAAGGGCTTTCTGTTCTTTGCTATAGACTTTTTAATGCATATGTGTGTGAGCTCAAGTGTATGTAAGTGCACCACGTGCATGTAGGTGCCCAGAGGACAGAAGAGGATGTCAGATTCCTTAGAACTGGAGTTCCAGATGGTTGTAAGCTACCTGATATGGGTGCTGAGACCTGAACCTGCATCCTCTAGGAAGAGCAGCTGGTGTACTTAACTACTGAGTTGCCTCTCCAGCCTCTGTGTTTCTTGAGATAAAGTCTCACGGTGTAGACCAGGCTGACTTCACACTCAGGTCTATCCTCCTACTTGAGCCTCTTGAGTGCTGGGATCACAGGTGTGAGGCACCGCACCTAGGCCTGCCGCAGACATTTTCACTCTGTCAGATCCTGTCTGAGGAGTAGAACTGGGTGCTAGATTTCCTGACAGCTGACAGACTGTTTCTCAAAGCTGTTAGGCCAGGTCAGGCCAAGAGTACACAGATGCTCAGAGCTCTGGCTCTGACACTGGTGCACTTCTGAGTTTTCATTCCTCACATGTGTCAATAGTGGCAGGACGCTGAGGACCACAGGCTGCAAACCTCCTGTGCTTAACATTACCTAGTTCTCACAGACTACTGTCTTCTCCTTTGTCTTCAGTTTGGTATCATTACTAATCCTGTTTATATATCCAGGTTGTGTATGACAGCTTGTGTTTAGTTATGAATTACTTCAATGTTTTAGATGACTCTGATGAACAAAGTCCTTAATATTAATTCAGGTGAATTTATCATTTTTTTCTTTTATGGTTAATACTTTGGGTTTCAAGAAATCTTCCACTTCAAAGACAGATCATTACCTGCATTTATTGTAAAGACTTACAACTTTTCTTCTTTTTTTAAAAAACAGGGTCTCCCTAGTCCCGGCCCACATGGAAGTCACTAGTGGACCAGGCTGGCCTCAATCTCACCGAGATCATCCTGAGGGCTGCGATTAAAGGTGCACACCACCACATCCAGCGTAACTTTCTTTTGAGACTAAGTTTTCCCTCCTTTTTTCCCCAAATGATGTTACGTGAATTCTCTGTGTGTCTTTCACGTGCAAAACCAGGTTGCTTCAGGGCCTTATTTATTAAAATGATGACTCCCTATGTAAGTGAAAACTGGCGTGCACCCGCACACTTCCACACACAGGCGGGTCTGTGCTCTCCCCAGCCTGCACAGGTCAGCAGGTCTCTTAGGTCTACTACCACAGCACTTTAACTTCTGCAACTTCAGAGTAAACCCCTTCGGTCAGCAGACCGCCCCTTCTCCTGGTCCTCTCAAGTGTGCTGGCAATTCTGTAGCCTTTGCTCTTCCACAGACATTTTAGGGTCAGATCCAGCTTAACTACACCAGCACCCTTCTGTTACGAGATCTTCCCTCTGAAGGATGGCCTTAGGAGGCTGCCACTTTGATGTCCAGCAGTCTAGGCTCTGTGCGTACTTTCTAAACCTAGGTCTAGATGTTTGTTTATAACTGTTGTAGTTTGTTGTAGAGAAACTTAACTTTTAAATTTTTATTTTATTTACTATTGTGTGTACTTGTGTGTACGGACTATTTCCACCACGGCTTCTGGCAATCAAATTCTCAAGTTGTCAGACTTGGATGACCTTGTACAACTTCTGATCAGTCTACACCTACATTTGGTGTCCAATTCCATTTTTCTAAGTCCATTCTCCTCTCGTTTTCTGATGAACATGATCTTAAGCACATGCCTCCAACTGCTGCCACCTAGAATGATCTTGATGCTTTCTGTGCGCCTTTACCAGGTAGGGAGATGCCCTTCAACTACTCTGAGAGATGCATTCATTTTAAATCTTGGATTTGGGGGGAGGGGGCGCAAGCAGGCATCTGTTTTCCACTAATATCGCAGTTACTTAATCATATAGGTAGGAGAATCAGTCATCATTTAATATAGCACCTCCTCTGTGCCAAGTACTCTCCTGAGCCCCTGGCACAACTCATTTATCCTTACAACAACTTCATGGAAGACAGGTCTACTCTGCAAGGCAGGGAAACGAAGCAGAAGGGAGCCATGTCATATTCTACAGACACAGCTCTTCAGGAGCAGAACTGGGACACAGCGGCAGGTGGCTCCAGCCACACACTGAGCTCGAAGCACATCTGCGGGAGGCTTTCTGACAGAATACCTTGTGCTCTCAGGAAGAATGAAAGTTGCTAAGAGACTAACAGCTGCCCAATCTGCTGGCATTTTATCTAGAATGTTCATACTTAGTTCATTATTAGGACTTTTCCTTCTCACGCTGCCTGGAGTGTGTTACTCCAGTTTTAAAAGCCTTACAGCACAGGCTGGGCCGTTCCTTCTAGTCACGGACAGTTCCATGAAGGAGCAGGAGCTCACACTCCGCTAACCCTCATAGCTCCTGCCCCATAAGATCATCCCAGCCTGTGGGGTCCCCTCAGGGAAGCTCTTTAAACAGTCTTACTCTGTGTGTGTGTGTGTGTGTGTGTGTGTGTGTGTGTGTACAGAGGTGTGGGTCTGTGTGCACGTTCTTGTTCCTGCACATGTGTGCACACGCCTATGAAAGCCAGACATCAACCTCAGAGGCTGTCCAGCTTGTTTTTTGAGACAGGCTTTCTTACTGGCTAGAGCTCACTATTACGCTAGGTCTGCTGGCCAGCAAGCCCCAGGAGCTGCCCATCTCTGACTCCGCAGTGCTGGGATCACAAGTATATACCACCACACCCAGTGTTACATGGGTGCTAGGATTAATCTCAGGTTTCTCCCTTGCATGGCAAGCACTTTACTGAGCAGCCATCTCTCTGGCCACTGGCTTACTTTATCAGTTAATGCTCTGAATAAAAATGTTTAAAGTTACATATTGTTTCACCCAATTTTAGTTTCTACTTTGGGTATGTTTTCTAATGTAAGTATAACATACACGCGTAAGGTAGTTGAATAGAAGCAGTGTGGGGGTGTCTTTTGAAAGCCCTTCTCTCTAGGCATTTCCAGAAAACTATACAGAGCATGGCCAGTCCTCAGCAGGTGAACTTCACCTGCTGTATAATTATACATGGCTGTATAATTATACATGCCATGAACTTTACTTTGAATGTGATCCAGACAGAATGACCACTCCTCAGCACAACGGCTGACTCAGGGTTAAATGTAAAGTCTGGCTCGGCTGATTCACAGTAAGGCCCCCACACCAACCCCACTCACAGCTCCTTGCGTGCTCCTTGGAGAGCAGGTAGTTGGCCAGCGGTGGTGTGTAAGTCAAGCACTGAATGGTGGAGTTCAGGAAACACGTGTTCCCCAGGTTGTGCAGCCCAGCACCCACGCGGAAAACACGCTCCCACCTCAGAGACAGTTGCTCGGTAGGGAAGAGCACTTTCTGTGGGGCTGGGACTCCGTCGCCTCCGCTTCCAGACGCACGCTCAGTGCCTAGAGAAAGCAGGACAAGGGGAGCAGGTCATGCCCAGGACCTTCCAGACTGCTCAGCTAGAGTCCAGGACCCTGTGGATGACAGAAGGTGGCCCTACCTCTGCACTACACTGCCCAAGGAGTCACCCCACCTCTCTATCTCTAGTTCCCACTTTCTTTTCTCATCAGATTAATTAGCTTTGCATGTGTGTGCAAGCACACACACGGCATACATGTAGGGTAAGAGGATGACTGTCAGGAGTTGATTGTCTGCCATTCACCACTTGGGGGCAGGGTGTCTCCAAGTTCCTGCCACAAGGCTACACTGCAGGCTAGCTGGCCCATGAGCTTCTAGGGGATTCTCCAGTTTCTGCCTCCCCTCTCCACAGGAGTGCGGGACTATAGACACACAAGAAAAAGCCTGCAATGGGCCTTGTAAGTGGACCCCCAGGTGTCAATCATCAGGTTCACACAGCTGGTGCTTTTATAAACTGAACCGTTTCTCTGGCCCCATTAAATATGGAGTCACCATCACGTTCCGAGGACCCTCCAAGTGCACAGGCCTCTTCATCTACCTTGGCTAAAGCGCACTCACCCTGGAAACCCACAGCTCCCTGACCACTTTCTGCTGCTGCTCCTGCAGCGAACCCAGGGACCATCCACTCCCTCAGCACAGGCCCCAGCCTATACCTGGTTTCCTGGCCTGCAGTTCATCTCCGCTCTTATGGCGGCTGGCTCCCTCAGTCCTGGGGTTCAGCAGCACATATTTGCTCTTTAAGGACTCCAGCTGGTAGGAGAAGCTCTTGCTGGCTGGCTCGAACTCAATCCTCTGCAAAAGGACCTTCTTGGCAGAGGCTGCCAGCAGCTTGCCCAGATCCCCATCCTCAACTGAGTCCTTGCGGCCAGGCTTCAGAGCCTCCTTCAGCTTATCGACTATTGGCATCGTGCATCACTGTGGGCATAAAAGGGATCCCAAACCCATAAACAACCAGGTCCTGGAACAACGGCATCATTTCTGCTTGACCGCTACACATGGCCGTCACCAGGGTCAGCGGCGAAGGACAACAGGGACTATTCAGACTTCCTAGAGATTAAGCCTTCCTCCCACCCCCAGAGGCTCCACCCTCAGAGCTAAAGGCACGGAATACCTAGGAGCAGCAAGCACCTGTGTGTGGCATCTGGCACTATCTCCTCTAAGTATATGAAGGCAGCATGGCTGACTCTCAAACACACTAGTTACTCATGCACACACGAAGGCAGGCTCTAAAGGAGTCAGCACGAGTCAGATGTCCAGGAATGTCTACACAGACCTGCATTGTGCCACAAAGAGGCCATGAGCCACACACGGCCACTGTGCACGTGAAACAAGCCTAGTCCAAGCTGAGATCTATAAAGTAGGAAGCTCAGCTCCAGACTTCAATGATGCAGTTTAATATAAAGCATCTCAATTTTTCAGTTGGTTATGTGTTGAAATGATATAATTTCACATATACTGAATAAAATAAAATATATTATGAAAATTGGGTTTGTCTTAATTTTTCTAAGGCAACTGCTGCAAAATTTTACATTGTATTTCCAACGGACAGTGCATACACAGATTATCTCTCTATGCTCATGTTTAGGCATGGTTGCTCAGTGTTGGTGTGGTCCCAGCACGTGGACGTGGGAGGCTGAGGCAGGAGGACTGCTAGGAATTCCAGGCCGCTCTGGGCTGCACAGTTAGCTCCAGGCCAGCCTGGACTACAGAGTGGGACTATGTCTCAATCAACCAAATACACACAAGTTATCGCTCTAAATCTGAGTGAAGAGTGAGAGAAGAAAAAGGAACAAACAAACAAGAAAAGCAAAGTGGGCAAACAGGGACTTGGGCTTCAAAGTGGCAGACTGACCCTATCATCTTTAGCTACAGCACCAGGGTCAAGTACCTAATACTGCACAGTGCTCACGCCTGGATTGTAACACAGGGACCAAAATAGCGGGGCAGGTGGTTGCAGGGATTAGTCAGACAGCTGCATGGAGTCCTGAATGGAGATCTGGTCCTACCAGGACAACTGCACGGACACTGCAACACAGGGGAGACCAGGGGAGACCCTCCACACCTGACGTGGGGCTTGCACCTGCTGCCCTCCTGCCCATACCCTGCCTCTCAACCCGTTTAGCCTGTTTGAGCCACAGTTAGAAAAAGACATCCCTGAAGTTGATCGCTTATTTGTCATTAGACAAATGGTTTCCAGTACTTGGAGAAGCAGCTAATCAAGTGTACCCCAAAACTCACCTCTGGTGTGAACAATGGTTCTCCACAGCTCTTACTGAGCCATTCAAGTTTATCATTATGGACCATCTACAGATCATCGATGGATCATTTACAGATCAGATATATTTTCCTATAAAAATTTCCATAGACACCAACCAAAAGGCTAAGAGCGCCAATGATAGCATGAGGCCTAGAGCCGAGACTGCTCTTCGCTGTATCTGTCTACTTAACGTTTCCACCAATGTATTTGTAAAGTGTCTTGATTTATGACTTTCCTTTGTTCTGTTACTATAAAAACTTCATGAAACTGCTTCCACATTCCACACTGGAACACAGAACCTGAAGTAACCTGAAATCTGTGTTCCTGAGCCAGGGTCACTCATATTTGTCTCTATAATAAACTATCTCTTATTCCCTTAAAAAAAAAAAAATTCCAAGCCGGGCGTGGTGGCATACACCTTTAATCCCAGCACTTGGGAGGCAGAGGCTGGCGGATTTCTGTGAGTTCAAGCCCAGCTTGGTCTACATAGTGAGTTCCAGGCTAGCTGGAATTTCAGGGAGACCCTGTCTCAAAAAGACCAAAAAATAAAGAATGAAAACCAAAAATTCCATAAAGAACAGAAATGCAAGACACTTTTTGTGTATGTGTATACATGTATCTATGTGTATGTATACCTGTGTGTATATATGCGTTTACATATACATATACACATACATATATTCAATATATGTGTATATATATCCCTAAAGCCAAGATGGCTCAGAGGCTAAAGGTACTTGCTGCCAAGTCTGACGCCCTAAGTTTACTCCTCGGGACCCACATAGTAGAAGGAGAAAACCAACACCAACTCCTAGGAGTTGTCCTTTGACCTCCACAGCTTTCACACACAGTAGATAAAATGTAACTTTTAGTGGGGCTTGGTGCTCACGCCTTTAATCCCAGCACTAGGGAGGCAGAGGCAGGCGGATCTTTTGAGTTCAAGGCCAGCCTGGTCTACATAGTGAGTTAAGGTCAGCTGGGACTACAGAGAGACCCTGTCTCAAAAAGACCAAAAAAAAAAAGTAACTTTTTACAAAGCATCTTATGATGGGGACTCACTAAGACTTTCACTCATGGAAGTCTTTGCCAGGACTTGGTGGTAACCAGGAGAAATGAAGAGACATGGAACCCCCCAAGGCTTACCTGGGGTGCTGAGCCTGGCTGTTGCTTCCTCCCTGTGGTAGGGAATGTGCTTCTCAAGGGAGAGGTGGATCTAATCTGCCAGGTGCTCCCTAGACTTTAGCCTGTTCAGTGTGCTGTCCAGAGGTGTTGACACCTGTGGGATGAGGAGCCAGACTGTCACTTGGTGGCTGACTCTTCCCACTATCTCCTCGGCCTCTCCCATAGATTCTATGTGGGAACTATGACCTTCTACCAGGGCAACATTAAGGTTAAAGACTCAAGCATGGAGGTACACACCATAATCTCAGCACTCAAAAAGATAAGGCAGGGGGCTGGAGAGATGGCTCAGCGGATAAGAATACTGATTGTTCTTGCAGAAGACCTGGGTTTGAATCCCAGCACCCACATGGCAGCTAACAACTGTCTGTAACTCCAGTTGCAGGGGACCTGACAGCCTCTTCTGTCCTCCGTGGGCACTGCACGACACGGGTGCACTTAACCTTCATGCAGGCAATACATGCATACACATAAAATAAAAACGATAAAGTATTGAAAAAAGAAAAAAAAAGATGAGTCAGGAGGATCAAGCCTAGCTATGCAGTGAGACAGTAAAAAATGATCGGAATCTCTCTGATGCTGAAATGAGAATGAGTCCAGAGGACATCTGGGCTAACGAGCTACAGCATACTGAATTTATGATGGAAACACACTGTCCGCTTCTCTACATGGTGTCCCTGATGCTCCTTGATCCTGCTGGTCAACTCCAGTCTGAATCTCATTTCCAAAGAGTAAGAGGCAAGAATAATAACACACAGTAACCCGAACTCCTGGATTTCATAAGTATTTTTTTTCTAGATCTTTCTGAGACAGGTCACCTTGTAGGTCCAGCTGTCCTAGACCTCCCTATGACGCCCAGGCTGGCCATGAACTCACAGAGATCTGGCTGCCTCTGCCTCCCATGCTGGGATTAAAGGTGTGCTCCACCATGCCTGTATAAGTACTTTTTAAAAAGCACATTTTTATTGAATTTTTATATATTTCACACACAACATCTTAGTCCTCTTTTTAGAAAATATTTTTGTGTTAACTGCACAAATGTATTGCCTTCATGTGTGTGTGTACCCATGTTGTGCAATGCCCGTGGAGGTCAGAAGAGGGCGCCAGATCCCCTGAAACGGAGTTATGGATGGCTGTCAGCCACCATGTGGATGCTGGGAAATCAAACCCCAGACCTCTGAAAGAGCAGCCAGATCTCTTAACAGATGAGCCATCTCTCTAGCTCCATAACTCTAGTCCTCTTTATACCCTTTCCCATTGGCACCCTCCCATAGGCCCCACTGGATTTCATGCATTCTGTCATTTATGTTAAGCTATCAAGTTAGTGTACTTTTTTGAGAAAAATAAAAATCGTGAAAATGCTATTTCCCGATTACATAAAATTTACGATTTCACAAATATTCCAGCACATAAAAAGAAGGGCAGCACAGTACGCCTTGATGGCCACACTGCCGGGCTTCAGTAACTGACCAATCTTGACTGACCTCATTTCCAGGTTCCCCTTCATCCAACCAACCCAAGTACTACAGAAGGCTCTCCAAAGGACACTCTGCAGAGCTAAGAACCAAGTCTCCTAAAACCACCCCGTGTCATTTAAAAAGTCATTCATCCCTTCCCAGGGACAGGTGAAAACCTTGTCCTAGACTGAAAGTGCCTGTGCCACCAGGGTCATGTTCAGGAATGTTTTTTTTGAAAGGATGACCAAATGGGAGAGTCAACCCAACGTCATTTGCTATGAACACTTTACATGTTCTCTCACACAGAGATAATTTTTGAAGTTGTGACAGAAAAGTCTCTAACAATTCCCACTGAGATACAGCAGTGTGATGTAGGAACCAAGAAAATGGTCCTGTATCTCAAGCAAGCTCTGGGATATGCACACTCAGCACACATGTGACTTTGATGCTGAGGGAACATCCCTCCTATGCAGGTTTCTTAAGGTCTAGACTGGGCCATGCTGTCAATACACATATCTAATTCTGAACCATTCAAGCCCAGCATTCTTCAGACAGGCTCCATTTTAAATACACTCCCCTCTTCTCTCTTTAAATTGTTTTCCAAGATAAACCTCACTAAAAGCTCAGAGTGTAGCCGGGCGTGGTGGCGAACACCTTTAATCCCAGCACTCGGGAGGCAGAGGCAGGTGAATCTCTGAGTTCAAGGCCAGCCTGGTCTACATAATGAGTTCCAGGCCAGCTGGGGCTACAAAGAGACCCTGTCTCAAAAAAGACCAAGAAAACAAAACAAAACAAAAACCTCAGTGTCAACCACAGGTCCAAGAGAAAACAAAAAGGGTTGGGCCTCCTCAGAGTCTTGGGGTGGAGGTGGGGGCCTCCAAGACTCTCCAGAGTACAGCATCCTGAGTAGAGCCTGGAGAAGATGGACCGCATGTCACATGGATGACATCCATTGCTAAGCAGGGCTGCATGGGTGCTGGGGTATTTCTTGACCCACTGCTTTGCACCCTCACCCCGAGCAACACACCATACATCCCAACAGAAGCAATGGGAATTCTAAAATCCACCTCCACCCCATCTGTGCTCAGTTCCCTACATCTCAGTGAAAGGCCCTTTCCCACTCAACAGCTCAGAAGAACACTGTCCCCTGGCTGTGACATTACATAGTGTATTGACCCAGGTAAAGGATGCTTTCATCAGTAAAGACTGTCCAACGTTGATACAGGCTGTTGTCATCTGCCCTAGACTACAGGCCAGCTCTGCCCTCCCTCCAGCTTCTGATTGGTTTGCACATCCAGGTCCTTTCCAGAGACACCTGCTGGGATAGTGCATCCCCAGAGTCTCATGTGTAGATGACAAGACCCCAGGTCCCGGAAGCATACCGGGGCGAAGAGCAACTTATGCATCTCCTAGCCCATGCTACGGTTCCCCAGAGTCCCTAGCATCCCCAAGTTCTCCTGAGCTTCCCCCCGCCCCAGCGTCCCTCCCCAGGCTTCCTTAGGGTCCCCTGCCACCCCTCACATCCCCAGGCCCTCCGCTTATCTCCACCGTACCCTAGGGTTCCGGGGTTCCAGCTCCGCCCCCGGCCCGCGTTCCCCTCGCATCTTCAACCTCCCCGGGGTCCTTCACACCCCCTGACCCCACCCCGGGGTCCGGGCACCCCGCGCACCGCCAGTCTCCTCAGGCCTCCCTGGGATCCCTCCCACCTCCAGTCTCTCCTAGGGTTCCAGCGTCCTCAGGCTTACCCGGGGCCTCCGGGGTCCCTCACACCCCCCGGGGTCCGGGTACCCCGCGCTTTTCCAGGGATCCCGGGGATCCCTCCCTAGTATCCCGGTCCCTCGAGGGTCCCTCGCACCCCCAGTCCCACAGGGGTCTCTCTCATCTCCAGCCTATCCTAGGGTCCCGGCGTCCCCCAAGCCCTCCCGGCGGCCCCCACCTCCCCTATCTACTTCCCCCGGGTCCCAGCACCACTTCCAGCCTCCCCTAAGGTCCTGGCGTCCCCAGCCGCCGCCCCCCCCCGAGTTTCCTCACACCCGCAGGCCTCCCCGGGGTCCCTCACGTCCCCAACTCCAACCGGGGTTCCCGGCGCCCTGCGCATCTTCAACCTCCCTAGGGTCCCTCGCACCCCCAGACCCCCCCCCGGGTTCTCGGAGTCCCTCGCATCTCTAGCCTCCCCAAGGTCCCCTCCCCCCGGGTCTGAGCGCCGCGCGCCATCTCCGGCCTCCCCGTTCCCACGCCGACCGCGCACCTCCTGTCCTCCCAGGGTCCCTGGCCGCCTCTCGAGGACACACGCCCGGTCCCCCGGAGCGCCGCCCCGCAGGCCAGAGGAAGCTGCCCCACGGTGCAACGCACGACCTCGGTCTCCCCGGCTCTGGCGACTCACGGAAGGCCGGCGCAGCGCAGGCGTCCGCTCGGGGCCGGGCCGCAAGCGCACCATCCGGGCCTCCGGCGCCGCACACACGTGTCACCGCGACACTTAAAGGAGCCGCACGGTGGGAAGCGCGCAGGACCGACCGCGAGAGGTGCCTGCAGCTTTAAGGGGCGGGGCTGGCTGCGGGCCGCTCCTGGACCTGTCCACTTCCGCTTTACGCGGGGCTACGTCACCGCTCGTGCTGTTGCTCCGCCAGCCTACGCGATGACGCAAGCGCGCAGACCTCAAAGCCCCGCTTCCCTGGGCTGCGGCCTGGCGCAGTTTCCGCAGAGCACGTGAGGTGACGTCACTTCCGCTCGCTTAGCTGCCGAGAGGGAGTGCGCATGCTTGGTTCGCCGGCTGTGGAAGTCTTCGGAGCGCGAGGTTTCGGGCTTATGGGGCCCCGGGGACGCCGGGATTCTGCTGGCCGCGTGCAGAGCCTTGCGCTTGGTGCATGCTCAGTGCGAGCCAGGGACCAAGGGAAGCCTCTGGAAGCCATGTGCGAAATGCACCGTGAATTAATTTCTTGCTGGCTGGTGGTTTGAATTTAGGGTTTTTTTTTTAAAACTGGGGCTTGAGATGCGGCTTGGCAGCTTTAGGCAGTTACGCAAATGTCCCGCAAGGTGCCGGGCGTGGCGGCGTTCACCTTTCCTTACTTGGGAGGCAGAGGCAAGGTGGACTTCTGAGTTCGAGGCCAGCCTGACCTACATAGCCTGGTTTACTGATGGGGAGGGCGACATAGAGCCCTGTCTCAAAAGAACCAACACGAAAGGAAGGTGAGGTTCCCAGCACTCAAGTGGCTGAGGCAGGTGGATCGTTGAGACTTTGAGGTCAGCCTGGACTACATAGGTCCTAACCTTATCAAAAAGCAGCCAAAGACCTTCCTTTTAGCCTGAGGTCCAAACTATGTTTATAAGAAATTTCGCTTGAGGCCTGGAGAGATGGCTCGGTGGTTAAGAGTGCTTGCTGCTCTTGCAGAGGAGTGGAGTGTAATTCCTGATTCATGAATGTATCTCTAGCTCCAAGAGATCTCACACTTTCCTCACCCCCCTGGGCGCGCACACACATTAAATTCCTTTTAAAGCATGGTGGTGCACACCTTTAATCCCAACACTCGGGAGGCAGAGACAGGTGGATCTCTGTGTGACTGAGGCCAGCCTGGTCTATATAGTGAGTTCCAGGCCAGCTGGGGCTGCAGGGAGACCCTGTCTCAAAAAGACAAAAAAAAAAAAATTGGGGCTGGCGAGATGGTTCAGCGGAGCACTGACTGCTCTTGCAGAGGACCCAGGTTTGACTCCCAGCACTCACAAGACAGCTAGCAACCATCAGTAACTCCAGTTTCAGGGGGGATCGGCTGCCTCCTGAACTCCACAGGCATTGCACAACACGGGTGCACTTACATGCATGTAATACACTCATACACATAAAATAAAAATGAGTTAGGAGCTAGAGAGATGGCTCAGCGGTTAAGAACACTGAATGTTCTTGCAGAAGACCCGGGTTCGAATCCCAGCCCCCACATGGCAGCTAACTATCCATAACCCCAGTCCCAGGGGATCCGACAGCTTCCGACCTCCACGGGCATTGCACAACACGTGCACTTACCTACATGCAGGCAATACACCCATAAACATAATTTTTTTAAAGTTTAAAAAAATAAAAATTCCCTTTTCCTTTTAAGATTTATTTTTAAAATTTTATTTAAGATGCACATTTGAGTGTCTTGCCTGAATGTATGTGAATGTGCACCATGTGCATGCCTGGTACTCGCAGAGACCAAGAGAGGGCATCAAGTCCCCTGGAACTGGAGTTATTGGTGGTAGTTGCAGTTGCCATGTGGGTCCTGGGAACTAAGCCCAGGTCCTCTGCAAGAGCATTAAGCGCTCTTAGCTGCTGAGCCATCTCTCCAGTCCCAAGATTTATTTTTATTATTCTTAATTATGTGTGTGTAAGTGTGTCTACTTGGGGGCGGTGCATGTGAGGCTAGATGTTTTGAATCACCCAGGAGTGAGTTGCTCACAGTGGGTGCTGGGAAGCAAACGAGGGTCCTCTGGCAGAGTAGTAGGTGCCCAACCCCTGAGCCATCTCTCCAGCCCCAGAAGGCCCCTGTAAACTGAGCTGTTAATCCCCTGATGAGTTGGCTCCAGGCTCCACTGTTCTAGGCAGGATACAATGAACCACTTGCCTTTGCTGTCCAGAGCCTGATGCAGTGATTCCTGGGTAATTTGCTGTGTTTGCCATGCTTCCTGCTTGGGAGCTGGCAAAGTAGGAAAATGAAGAGATCTGGGTGTGGTTTTTATCCTGACTGTGCCCTGATTAGCCCGTTACTTTAGATACTTCTCTCTTACCTGGGGTTCAGTTTCTCATCTGTGAAAAAAAGATGATTCCCAGGCAGAGAAGACAGCTCAGTTGGCTGGAAAGTCTTGCCATGCAAGTGGGAGACCTGAATTCCATCCCCAGGACCTACACAAGCAAGCCTGGCCCAGGGTGTGCACTTGTTATGAGGTGGTTGGCAGGTCCTGGCTCCTGGCTCCAACCTGGTTCTTGTCCCACCCTCCTCTAAGAATGGAGTGGGCAGATACCTCACTATGAACAGGAGGGAGTTCATTGTCACGTCGGGATTAAAATGAGATAAAATAATTATTGCCCCTACCTAGCAGTAATTCTTGTGTGGAAGAGACAGACACAGGTAGATTCCTTGTGCTCACTGGCCAGCCAGCCTCGTCTAATTGGGAAGTTTTAGAAGTTTTAGGTCAGTGAGAGAGTCTTTTTTTTTTTTTTTTTTTTTTTTTTTTTTTTTTTAAAAAAAAAAAAAAAAAAAGAGGACGATAAATCTTTCACTGTGATAGCCTGGAACTCACTATGTAGACCAGGCGGCCTTGAACTCACTCTGCCTCCAGAGTGCTGGGACTAAAGGCATGTAATACCATGCCCACTCTTTTTTTAAAGGTGGCATTACTAAGGAATGCTACAAGAGATGGTCCCCTGGCTTCCACATGCACACGCCACTCACAAACAGCAACATTTGGTACAGTTGCTGAGCTCACTAAGCACCAGATACCAAGCTGGCCACTGTATCAACATAGTTTAATACTCAGAACAACCCACAAAACATACTATCATATCCATTTTACTGATGAAAAAACTGAGTATGGAACATCCTAGCAAGCAGGGCTGGTGGGATGACTCAGTGGGAAAAAGTGCTAAGTCTGATAACCCAGGTCCATCCCAGGCCCATATGGTGAAAGGAGAGAACTGACTCTTGCAAGCTGCCCTCTTACTTCCACATAAGTACTGAGGTGAACAGACACAGACACACACACACACACCACTAAAATGCAACTTTAAAAATTTTAAGATTCTAGTAGCTGGGTGTGGTAGCACACGCCTTTAATTCCAGCACTCAGAGGCAGGGACAGATAGAGCTCTGTGAGATTGAGACCAGCCTGTTCTACATAGTAAGTTTCAAGTCAGTTGGGGCTAGAGGGAGACCCTGTCTCAACCACTGCCCCCAAAAGATTCTCATGGGGGTCAGAGAGATGGCTCGGTAGTTTAAGACCAGATACTTCTCCAGAGGGCGCAAGTTCAGTTCCCAGTACCCATATCAGGCAGCTCCCAACTGCCTGTAACTCCAGCTCCGGGGGATCTAACACCTCTGACCTCTCTGCAGGCATCTGCACATGTCCATGCATACACATATGTTGGGAAACCCTGCTGTTAGGGTTGTAGTTCTCCATGTCCGGATAGTCCTAAGGGGCTCGGCGCCAAATGGAAGGACTCCCCTTTTCAGCAGGGGGCCTCCTGCTCTCTTCCTGGCTTACCTGGAAAGTGCCACCAAGCACAGATGCCTGACCTTATTTGGAACATGACCTTTGGCATAGTTACCTGGAGTAAAAACTACCCCAGGTTTTTTCTATATGATAATCAGGCATTGCCTGATAGTCGGTCAATAGGATCCCCCTGCCACATGTAAATAAAGCATACTATGAGCACCTATCAGCTGAGGCTTTGGCTACTGCCCCCACACTATAAATTCCCTAGTTCTCCCACTGAATAAACAGAGCTGTTTCACTGGATCTGGAGCTGTTTCACTGAGTCTGGAGCTGTATCACTGCTGTTTCACTGCACCGTGGGACCAGCCTCCCCGGAAGGGCTTTCTTCTGTCAGTGCTCACTGGCCGTCCTGACTCCGTTCGCCACTTCTGCTCCCCCTGCCCTTGTGGACCGGTGGCCAACTACCCGTGAAGAGAGGGAGAGACCCCTGCACACATAAGTAAAATAATAAAAATAAATCTTTAGAAAAATATTCTAGGGTTGGAGAGATGGCTCAATGGTTAAGAACACTAGCTGGTCTTGCAGAGGACCTGGGTTCGATTCCTAGAACCACACAGCAGCTAACAACTATCTGTAACTGCAGTTCCAGGGGATCTGACATCCTCTTCTGACCTCCAAGGGCATTGTATGACAAGGGTGCACATACCTACATGCAGGCAATATGCTACTCATACACATAAAAATTTAAAAACCAAAACATTTAAAAAAGAGAAAAGAAAAATATTCTATTAAGTGGTTTGAACCTGTGTCTACCAGGCTCCAAGTTCACATCTTGAGCTGAGGCCATCACAGATAACCCCAAATTCTTTTTTTTTTTTTTTTTTTTGGTGTTTTTGAGACAGGGTTTCCTTTTAGCCCCGTTTGGCCTGGAACTCCCTTTGTAGACCAGGCTGGCCTTGAACTCACAGAGATCTACCTGCCTCTGCCTCCCGAGTGCTGGGATTAAAGTTGTGTGCCACCAGGACCTGCTGATAACCCCCAAATTCTTAGGAGTTGACAAAGGAGTGTTCTGGAAGGCCTGTGTAGCCTGAGGGAGGATATTGAGACTTAAAGGGTGGAAAGCTTCTGGCTACCCACACTCCACCCACCACTTTCAAGTTCCCTCATAGAAGCCCTCAGAGTCAAGTTTCCTCTTGACGTGTTCATATGAGCAAACGTAAAAGTCTTTGAAGGTGCTCAGCCTCACAGATCACCAGAGAAATGCAGAGGAAAACC